CAATATAAATTCAACCAATAAAAAAATTTTAAAAATTAAATAGGATATCTAAATAAACAAATTAAATATCTTCTTAGGCAATCCTTTAATTTATAAGGTTTACTTGCATAAGATCACTCGATCCATACCATCATAACTTTCGATACCTGGGTACCGCCCTAACCCCATTTCCAGCCGGAACACGACTCCCTCCATAGGAATTTAGGATCATTTTTTCGAGAAATACGTATAATTCTATTTTGCTTTTGAGTTGAATTATTTGAATTTTAAATGAAGGATAGGATATATAGTCATATAGATCATTAGATTGATTATTTGATTGATAGAATGCAGCGGGTTATCCTACGTGGCTCACATGCCTGCGTTTTCGGGCCCCACGACCTATTCATCACCACCGTCTACGCAGCTCACACCAACTGAAAACTTAATCCAAGGGGCACAATTTTGTACGTGACACTCCCTACCATACCTACCAAAGGACCGCAGTCGTGGTTAAGGTATATCAAATCTACGACCAAGATCTTCCGAATAAACCAATAGAGCTCTCAAACCCTATAAATTCCCGGGCCACAGAGAGTGCCATGGAAGACGAGAAGCCAAAGGGCTTTTTCTTGTTCTAGTTTTATCCGTTTATGAAGCCGTATTTGACAGCGATCGGAGCGGGAAATTCCTAGGAAGGAGGGTTTTGTCTCGATTGCTTGTTTCCCCATTGTCTTCTGTTTGAGCTATCAAACCCTCGCTTTTGAAAGTTATCGGGCCACAAAGATTCTCAAATTCGCCATGGAAGACGAAAAGCCACAGGAGTTTTTCTTGCTCTAGTTTTATCCGGAAGTTTAGCCGTATTTGATAGTGATCGGAGTGGGAAGCCCTAGAAAAGAGGGTTTTGTTTGGATTGTTAGTTTGCCCGTTATCTTCTGTTGCTTTTGGCTTACTGTCGATAATTGCAAATAATGGAATCGTCCGCGATATCGATATACAACCCTCAGAAATCCAAGTAAAACTTCCTTGTGTCATTTATTGTTATCGTGTTGTCTTGTCTTATTGTCTATGCGTATTTATATTTGTCAATTTTGTTTTTTTTTTAGTAAAAGAGTGTTTCCGGGGAGTAGTAGTTCACCGTACATGGAACCCGAAGTGATCGAAATTACTCCTCCTTACGCTGGTCAGACTTCCAAATCGAAGGCTAAATCGCTTAAACAAAAAGAGGTACATAAATCGTATCAACAAGGCTGGTTTATTGGTTTCATCAATCTTGTTCATATTTCATCGTTTCTCAGGTTGTTTATCATGAAATAATCGACGTTGACATGGATGAAGACCGAAATGATGTAGTGTTCATTGAAGGGAAGGTTGAATCCAACAAAAAGAGGAAGGTATAATCTTCTTGATTTTAAGTATGATCTACTCTTGTTACTTGTTTTTCTGCATCTTGTTGCTTTGTTGCTCTTAACTCTAGTTATAATCGTATACCTCTGTTTCTAGGGTGCTATGGGCATCTCATTGGGTCCTAGTAGTGCAGAACAAGTTCAAACTACAAAGAAAGTTGACTCAAATAATAAGGGGAAGGTATAAGCCTAGCCATATTATGACAGTGAAGTCAAAATATATGCATATAATTTCTAGTTTGTAATCTTTTTTTAGGATATTTCAATGATTTCATATTTTCATTTACGCAGGGTGGTGTGCAAATGAATTCAGTGGGCCCGGGTCATTCTTCAAAGAGCTTTGTAACAGAATTAGAGAGCTTTTATGATTTAGATGATTATATTTTAGAGGATGATTATCTGGCTTTGCAATCCCGTTTTGATCATATGGATATCCCTACTGGAATTGAAGCTCAAATTCCCTGGTTTCCAGAAACACTCCAAATGAAAAAGAATTCAACTGTTCATGCTGCTTCTACTTATTCTGGTCTACATGCAAGCAACAGTTCAAAGAATCTTCCATTTGTTGAGACCCCACAAAAATTCCAACACCAAAACATGCCCTTTAATTATACACATAATCAAGTAGCTCCACCTATGAAGGTGCCTCATACGGGTTCTTATTTTTCCAATAGTTCTAATACTCCTCAAGTTGGTGGTGGTGGCATTTCTTCAAGTTTCTTTCAGCTTCCCATGAACACGGGTTACCCACTAGGGGTAGATACGTCATTTTCTATGTATCCTATGGGAGACATGTTAATGGACAAGATTGTTGCTGGGAGTAGCCCAAGGAATTCAAGTGTAATTGGAAGCTCTTCTAGCATGGCAAAGGTTGTTGATAATGAAGATGTTCTGAAAAGATATGAGAGCTTCAAGAAGTTTGATACAGTTGTGGATTTTTCTGATCATTATTATGCAGCACAGAATTCTGGAATGAAGCAGGTAAGTCTGATTTTGGGGCTTTCTCTTTTTTTCCTATTTCATTTGTGTATGGGCTGAAATGGTAACTATGTCTGTTGGATAAGTGTAAACCATCTTAAAGAGTCTAAGTGACAATTTTAACATTGCATTCCAAAATAAAAATTTCACAATATAAATCAATTGTAATGTGAGAGGAAAAAAGGGCAAATGGGTAAAGGGTTAGTGTCTTGATGCATTAAGTCATGTTTTTTTGGCTTAACCCATTAATGAGGTGTTTGGGATTGCTTGTTTAAGGTGCTTATTACTGCTAATAATCATTTTTTAGTGTTTGGATGAAAATAAAAACAAAAAGTGCTTATCGACTTACATAAGCAGTTTTGATACTTATTGATGCTTTTACTTGTTTACCCTTTTACACCTCATCCAAATAGTAGAAATAACTTATCAGCTTATTGTGTTTTGGTAGCATATAACCTAATCCAAAAAACTGCTGTGTGTAGTTGCTTATCCCATTAAGTCTAAAAGGAAACAGTGGATTAAGTTTACCTGATATGTTGATATATTTTCATATACAAAATGAATGTGATTGATTATGTTTCAGCCACCAAAAAATTGGGCTAAAAAGATACAGGATGAGTGGAGGATTCTTGAGAAAGACTTGCCTGGTAAGCATGTGTGAGAAATTACTAATAATTAGAATTTAGAAAGAGAAATGAATAGATGTTGTGATTGTGCAGACACAATATTTGTAAGGGCATATGAATCAAGGATGGATCTTTTAAGAGCTGTAATTATTGGAGCAGATGGCACCCCGTATCATGATGGGCTCTTCTTCTTTGATATCTGTTTTCAAAGCAGCTATCCCAGCTGCCCACCAGTAATAAACATAAACATAAACATACATGTCTTGTTTTAATCATGTTGTGCTTGTTAAGTTGAAGTTGATGGTTGATGGTTGATGAATGCAGCTTGTTCACTATCACTCTGGTGGGCTGCGTATCAATCCGAATCTGTACAACTGTGGGAAGGTGTGCCTGAGCCTTCTGAACACATGGTCGGGTGCCCAAAAGGAGAGGTGGATCCCTGGCACCTCAACCATGCTCCAGGTGTTGGTCTCCATTCAGGGTCTCATCCTGAACACAAAGCCTTACTTCAATGAACCTGGATATGCACACTCCAGTGGCTCCATCCAGGGAGAAAAAAGATCCATGCAATACAACGAAAGCACCCTCATTCTATCACTCAAAACCATGGTCTACACCATGAAAAAACCACCCAAGGTAAACTTTTAACACTCACTCCCTTTCTTCTTCTTTTCTTGTTGTTTGAAAGTGTTGCTTTTCTATATATATATATATATATATATATATATATATGATGATGATGTAGAACTTTGAGGATTTGGTGAGTGGGCATTTTCGGAACCGTGTGCGAGATATTTTGATGGCGTGTAAAGCGTATACAGAAGGGGTGCAGGTTGGGTGTCTAGTGAGGGGAGGTGTACAGGATGTGGATGAGGACAATGACAGCTGTTCACCGCAGTTCAAGGCTGATGTGGTTGCATGTGTCAAGACGCTTGTGGCTGCATTTAAGAATATTGGAGCTAAAGAAGCTGAGGACTTTGTAGGGTTGACTGTAAAGAAAACCAAAACTCAAACTCATTCATCATCGCGTGCATTTGCACCTGCCTATGCGCATAATGTCCATGCTTATCTTCCTCCTCCTCCTCCTCCTCCATCTGCTTTCAGTGCTGCTATACCAGCTTATAATCATTATTGGTGAAACATATCTGTTTTTCATTTCTTTCTATTTTGGATTGGGATTGGGACTGGGACTGGGACTGGATGTTTTATGTTTTCACCCGAATAGTATAATATACTGCTATGCTCTGCTATATGTATATAGGGTGGATGTGGATTCTTTCACCAACTTTTTCTAATTTTAATCATTTCACTTATTCTGATCACAACCCTACTTCTGAAACTATATGTATTGTATCTGTTTAGATGAGCCATGTGAGGCTCTTTAAGTTTCAATGAATCTTTGCTCATACCAATGAGTTTGTTGGATTTGGGTTTTGTTTCCAGGAAATGTATGCTGTGCTTAGTTTGAGCTTTTGCAATTATGATTGTTTGTCTCAAGCCAAAATGAAAATAATTGTTTGTAGGGAGAAGATGAAGATTATGATGTTAAGAAAATTCAGATATACATTTCAGCCATTGCACTACTATCTGGGTCTCTTTAATATGATTTAGAAGATGTGGGTGAAATAAAAGACTGAATTGTGATCCTGAAAATATCCAAAAATCATGGATGGGTCAAGGAAAAGATAGAACAAGGACAAAATCAAATTGAACCAAAACTCTAAATTTTGTTCCAAACCAAAGTTGGAACAACGTAGGACAAGTGAGAGAGTAAAGACCTGTTTGATACAACCTCCTATTGGGTACGTAAGAGAACCAATGTTTGATATCGGCCAATCTACCCTCTCATAAAGAGTTAAAAGACTAGGAACTGTTTGACATGATTTTAATTTACCCTCTCATTTTTAACCTATTATTTTATGTTGAATTAAATGTTAAAATGACTTAACCTTCATTGTCATGAATGGGACAAAATACGATAGAAAAACGACCAAGACAAATAGGACTGTGGATGGGACAAAGATATGTTGGAAAAAAAGAAGATAGTAAAATATGACTAAAGTTCTAGTCCAACCAAAAGTGTGGAACAAGGTTGGACAAGTGAGGGGATAGAAAAACGACCAAGACAAATAGGACTGTGGATGGGACAAAGATATGTTGGAAAAAAAGAAGATAGTAAAATATGACTAAAGTTCTAGTCCAACCAAAAGTGTGGAACAAGGTTGGACAAGTGAGGGGGTTGTTTGATATTTGTATGATTGGTTTAGTTAGACGTTTTTATCTAATTTGGTCTGATCAAATTGATTGATATGGGTAAAATTTACCTTTGAATTGGTTCATAAAAAAAAGTACATGACTGTCCATTTATGAATGTTCACATTTTTGCCCTCTCCCCTAATACCATCGGCATTACATACACCTCTTCCTCCATCTAACACACCCTTCCAAGTATGCAATCGTCGCCTCCCTTCAATTTCTCCTTCCTCTGCCAACCTTGACGTCTTCCTTTGCCTCGCTGTCGTATCCCTCATGTGAGGACTTTCTTCTTTAAGTTATATTTTTATTCCGTCTCTTAATACATGAATTAATCTCCTTGCCTTGCATCGGGTTGCTAGGTTGCATTATGATGAGTTGGGGCAAGTTTTTTTTTCTTAATTTTGTGACTATTAGAGCTATCACTAATTCATTACTATTAGTATATTATATTGTCATAGTAATCATTTTGTGTTATGTGATGTGCATGAAAGACTCCTCAACTTGCTACTTCATAATTACCTTCATTATAATTTGTATGGTCAAATAGAAAAGTTTAAATCAAAGGCGCCACATTTTGAAGCTCTTTCAAATCGACATGTAATTCTTCATTTGATAAATCCAAGGTTCTAAATAACGTAAGGAGTGACTTGGCGACAATGTCAAACCTTAAGTTTTTCCGAACCTTGGCACGTCACGACGTTTGTAAAGCGTGACTTAAGGCGATATTTTTCTATATAATTAATATTTTTATATGTATTTTCAACTATTATTCATTTTTATACATATATGAGTTAAGACGGCGTTTTGGTAAAACTTGGTGGTAGGTGCAAGCCTTGGAGTCGTGACGCGCCATGGCGGAGCCATGACAAGTTTTTTAGAACCTTGGATAAATCATCAACTAATCCTTTTGAAATGTTCCATTTGTTAAAAGGTTCAATATTTGCTTCAACCAATTTAAATGGAGGGTTCTATTTTTATTACTTTGTGGGCTTTAAGTAAATTAAAACGTTTAAATGCAAGAAATAACAATATTGTTATTAATTTGTTTATTTTAACATCCTACTTTTATTTAACACAACATAGAACAAAATGGTAGTATATTATAAACTTCATTCAAATATTTTATTAAACATATACATTTTATATAACACAAGATAAAACAAAAATGATAATATGGTCATTTTCATCATTTAACACAGTCAGTCATATGCATAATCGAACAACCAAGTTTCATTCAGAGGTCTCCTCAATCAGAGCTTCTGACTTAGTCAACCTCTTACTCAGTCAGATCTAGTCATATATGACTCGATCAACAACTATCAAACAACCCCAGTGAGAGACTAAAAGTCTAAAATACTTGCAAACTCTATCACAAAGACTAAAATGCCCACAACCCGTTTCTTTTCCCGTCATCTTCTTCACATCCATAAAATTCTACATTTTAGGTTTTAATCAGGGTAATGATATCAATTCCAAATGTATTATGTCACCACATACAATAATCAAATCTCCTTTAGATGCCTTCACTCAAATACCCCCCCCCCCTCTCATACACAACATCTTGACTTGGTTGGTTCCTAATCAATTTATGCCCACTACTACATTGAATTTGTTAGGACTCGTTGGTAATAGTATAATAGGGTGTTTCATCTCATTCTAATCAACTTCAACATTAACATCCTCATTACGCTCACATGTCTTTGAGATGTGACATTCATATTACAACATATAACTTCCTAATCATTTTTCAAATGTGAGTAATTCCACCATATCAACACATCATCATATAAATCACTTGCCAAAGTAACTTGCACACGTCAACACTATAAGTGTCATGCTCCTTAAATTTTTATCACCTCTCAAAAGTTCCATTGTTTTTTTTACATAATAGAACTTTACATAGACTAGAAACTACCTTATATCATAAGGGAGTTCCAAGTAAAATTCTACCCAATGGTTTTTTTGGAACGAAAAAAGACTACTTGAGGTTGTACACAACTTTGTGATCCTTAAATCATAACTTTACAACATTAGACACCTTGAATGCTCCTCTAGTGTTCTGAGAAGCTTAAAGAAACCAATCATCAATTTCTGACTATGTATTAATCCAACAATGTTTTTATATTCATAAGTTATATGATATGATAGGCCCATGAACATCACAAAATTGTTTGTATGGTTGGTCATCCTATAACACTAGAATAGTATGTTGATCATAACTTAAACTCACAACTCTGATTGAGTTGATTTGAAGCTCCACAAAAAGATGTTCATTTATGTATAAGTGTTGTGCTTTATACATTTTTCATGGTTATACATCGATTCTTCTCAATATCACATCTAATATCGAGGACACTGTCTAGCATTCCTCATCTTGAAAGCCAACTACATTGCAATGATTTTCCACATTAACTTGTCATCATTTAACCATCAACACATGGAAATATATAACAAATTACCACCATATTAGAATGTGTTTAGTGACAATAACATCACATATATAACACTTTTAACATCAATAAACGTCAATTTACCGCTCGCACCTCAAACATCAACTAAACTTACACCAGAAGAATCGATAAGTCTCAACATTTAAATCCTAAATCATAAAACATAAACGTAAATTCTGCAAAAAAATATATAATTTAAAGTCTTAGATTTCATGGCTAAATTATGGGCTACATCCTCTATTATCCATCGAATATGCCCAATGTCAAATTAAGTATGCGTACTTATGTAACATCTAATTTTTCAGGTATTTACTTTTGACCATTGAGTTATTAATTGTTTGCAAAATGGGTCGCCAATGGCAATTTCGTGATTTTGGGTGCTACTTGGGTACGTTGGGCATACCTAGTCCCGTGCTAGTACGTTGTGCGTACACTAGTACGCAGGGCGTATGTGGTTTAGACCAATACCATAATATTTAGGGTTTGTGCACTATTTAAGCACCATTATGTTGGATTAGTGTCTAAGTCCATAACTATTTTGGTATGTACTTGACCCGATGGTGCATGGTCCTTTTGGGTTGCCTTCACCAAAGCAACTTGATAGGATGAATTATGGAGAGTAAGGATTAAATATGATTTATTAATGTATTATGAGAATAATATATTAAAGGAGAAATCATATTGTTTAATTAATATTAGTCAAAAATTAATTAGTAATTAGTTTTGTAACTAAAAGAGATTAATTAAACTTAAGGGACTGGAATTGTAATTATAAGATAATTATGATTTGGGCCATGGATTGCCTTATATTAAGGGATGGACGAATTCTAATGGGAAACCCATAAGGAAATCGTCCATGGGCTTAATTAAAGGAGTCTATGGGTTGCTTAGGGCTTAAGCATTCATATTAGGGTTTCCTTGTTAGATAACCCTAATAGCCCAACTATATAAAGATCCCTTAAGGCTCAAAAACGTGGCTAAGCTTCTTGTAAGGGTTTACACACGTTTTTGGCAGCCTCCATCCTCTCTCATCTTCATCCTCTTGCTTATGGTGTTTGTAAGCCATTAGAGGAGTGACACTTGTGACTCTAAGCCTTCCAAAGTCAATACAAGGAGGAATTGGGATTGTTATTGCTACATAACAATCAAGGTATGATCTTAAACCTAATTACATGTTAATATGATTACTTGCATGCTAGAATTAGGGTTTATAGTCTTGGATTCAAAGCATGTACAATAGAGAAACCTAGATCCAAGCATTAGGGTTTGTATGAGCACATAGGATGTCTTATGACCAAAACCCATCACATTATAGCCTCAAGATCTTTCCCTTTATCATCCCCATCCCAAGATCGATCCTCCTTGAAAACCATTGTCTATTTTGAGCATTTTGAGCTTTTAGAGTAAGTTGTGGGCTTTCTTGTTCGTGAAGAAAGATTCAAGGGGTAGGCTTTGCTCTCAAGACTTTGGATCCAACATATTCTCTTCATTGTGCACCATTTGGAGGTATAAAGCTCCAACATTTTCTCATATTGTTCTAGATCTTGGTTAAGCTTAGATTTTTTTCTCTTTTGTCCTAAAATCTAGGTCTTTGTAAGTATGAGGTACTCCAAAGCCTTTAAGCCGTCCTTTCAGACATTTTAGGGTATTTTAAGTCATAAAAATGCAAGCTTGGATCTTGGTTTCTCCCCATGCAAGAGTTATGGTGTAGAAAAGGTTTGAACAAGTTAGGTTTTAGAAAGGGTTCCACCTTATGGTCATTTTGGGCCTTAAATCGTTGGGATTTGCTTGTTGGGCTTGGACCATAGACTTTCATGGTAATGGGTCACTTATGGATTTGGGATCATGTTGGACTTTGGGTGATCTTTAGGATTGGGACTAGGATTTTGTTTTGGGCTTAAATAAAAAGGGTAGATTGGCCCTTTTACCTTAGATATTAGACAAATAAAGTAGAGTTTCAACTATGATTTATGTCCTAATTATTAATTGGGGATTTATTTGTTTAGTCAGAGCATGGATTTTTCCAGTCCAGCAGCCCAAACATTTTTCTGGTTTTTCAGTAGTTGAGATGAACTTCCTCACTAGATCCATGTGTTGAAGGCACCAATACCGACCCATTGCTTGTTGTGTAGAATGCTATATGCCTTGTGATAAGTATATAAAAGACCAGGATCTAGCCCCTGACAGTTA